TCAAGGCTGATCGGACGAAGAGCACCAGCGCTGCTGCTTTACAGGGCTTGTTCTTGTACAACAAGGGCAACATGGAGGGAGCAATTGCTATGGCCGAGGGGCTGACATTCCGTGTTCATGACGAGGGTATGTAGTATGAGCGATTAGACTGTATGATAGACTGTGCCATGTATATTAGTTGAGTGCCAGGACATGTGAAATATGGCCAATGACATAGCATAACAAATTCTACTCAAGCTGCTGTGAGAGTTTATGGGAGTCAGTCATCCTGTTATCTCTATGTCGTCGGGGCTGTGCCCTTTTCGGTAACCGACTATGCTTCACCGATAGGTGATGTTTCGAGTAAACAGAGAAGTAGAGCCCATCACCTTTCGTCACCGTACCCCGCGACCACAAACCAGTCACAGTTACTGGTTATTAGCTTCAGCGCTTCCCTATACCGAATCATGATCTTTGGCATGGTCCGAAGCGCCGGGCTGAGTCCAGCCACATCGTGCCCGCTGTCCGATCCAGCGAGATGTCGAGGCTAAGCGCCGACCCAAGCAATCAAGTTTCTCCCACTACGGTGCATATTCTTCACGCTACTGCAGCCTCTCTTGTTCGGACCCTTGCCGCCGTCGATGCACTATGTTTTGACTATTCTGGATAGATCGGGGTCCGTGCCTGCCAGCTGGGCTTGATGTTGGTGGGCGTCTATACAGGTGAGCTTATATATACGTAGTATACTACCACTGTTGTTCCAAGGCCATTCGAAGCACTTTTGACATTTCATTTCCTTTCTTAATTAAAATAATAGAAATTAGCTTCAAGGACACTTTTATCTATTTAACCAAGACTGAGGAGCAAGTCCATCACCATGAGTCAGTTCCAACTCTTCCCATCACCCTCGGATAGCAGACCATCAAAGGAATTGCCAAGAGCCCCGAAAAAGCCAGCCATAAAGACACATACAGAGATGCGACCCATGGAGGAAATACGTGACAAGAGTAGTCCTACAGAAGCTGTGATCTTCAAACTTATTCAGGATACCCATACTAGTATCAGACCGCCGCCAAAGGCCATGTCCAGGTCGAACCCAGTGTCCATTCCAGACACAATACGAGAGCGTGAGACGTCCAAAGCTCCTCTGCGACATGACCGCCACAAGCGATCGGCAGAGAGAGTTGGCTCTCCTTCACACTCGGTCAAATCTGCTTCACTCCAGAGCAGCTTACCTGCGGCAGCTCCAGTGGTGCCAATGAAATCAACATTCCCTCGATATAACTACGACCTTCCGACGAACCAGCAGCAATACTACCCGGAGCCTTCATTCAACTCACACTGGGAACTATCCAGGTCTGAGACAGAGACACCACCTCCGGAGATAGATCGCGCCCTTGGACCCAGGACAGTTCCCGCCAGCGTGCTGAACTTTCCTGCCGGTGTGCTTGATCCAGTGGAGAGATATTCTACGCAGGAAGAGCTAAAGAGTCTATGGGAAATTGCCAACGGCCAACGCCCACAAAGCCTGCCTGGGACCTTTAATCTGTGTGTTGATCGGTATGTACATTCCTAAATTTACTATGGCAGATCTGACCCCTACAGGATCGACGCCAATACACTTACTTTCGGAGACCCCAGATCACCGTTTTATACACTGAGGGCTACTTCAGCAAACGACATATCGATCGTCCGGAAACACCCGTCCAAACAGGACAGCAGCGTTCCCGTAATGAACCTAAAACTCGAAGACAAATCTCGCCGCCAGCCTCCCTGCGATGGCCTGGTTTCAATCCTCTTCCCGCGCCTCGCCGCCATCCTAGCGATAGACCAAGCCGCAGAGGTGGCAGAAGAGCTCCGCCTCTCACCCATAGAGGCGACCAAAGCAGAAGGAGAAGCACTCAAGCGAGGAGCAGCTCAGGAATCCTGCAAATTGCTATGGAACCAATCGAAGCGAGTGTACGAGCTTCACCACCCCGCGCTGTGCAAGCAGCAGCCTCCCGCGCTGGTTGGTGCTGCTGGCATTCCTTTGTCGCCAGTACGCTCGAAATATTCAGGCGTCCTACACATTACAGTTTCCAGTCTGCCCAAGGAGGGGGGATGCAGCCAACCACCCACCATTCTGGTTACTACCCCTCTGCCAGCCAATGCCGTTGAGACGGGTGCCATGGCGGCTACGCCTCGCACATCCACGCTTCCACTGACAGATGCCGATGAGCCTTTGGCGTCGTTGGATCTGAGGACTATGACATTGTCGCTAGCTACAGGGTCGATTGCTGCGACGATACCGTCGTTGTATGCTGTTGACTGTCTCGTTTCTGCGCTACTGACTGTGGCGGTGTCTGATGAGTCTACAAGGCCTGTTCTTGAGGGACTCAAGTTGTATGACCAGGGGCTCTCGACTCCCCCCTCATCAACCCCTAGAGAGGAGATGATCACTGCCCTAGCGGAGCAGGAAGACGCTAAAGAAGGTAGCCAGCTGTGGTCCAAGGTAACATCGCAGCCCAAATCTGATAGTCGAAAGTGGTACCACTTTGGGAAAGGAGGGACCAAGAAGCCGAAGGCCCAAAAAGCCATAATAGAGGAGTTCGACATGGACAAGTACGGGCGATACCAGGGCGGCTCACGGGAGGGCGAGGAGCTTCCGCGGATTACACGGGGATGCTTGCGGGTGTTGTTCTGGGGGTTCAATGTGGTAGTGCACGGACTGACGATGGTTGTCAAGGGGATTGCTTGGATGGTGGTGAACCTGACTCGGTGTTGTGCCACTGATAGTCATATTTCGTAGGATGAGATGGATTATACGCCTATGGTTCGAAGTAGATTGCATTCCTTGATGTCATGATACTCGCAGGGATTTTGTAGATGAAGTCAAGAGCCAAATTGTGATAAGAATTCCACTACCAGCTTCCGTCAAGCGTTAGTAGAAAGTTAATTCGAACAGATGCTGATCTGTAGAAGGGTATGGAAGATGCTGTTGGGTTTGTTAATTCCATCACAACAGGTTAGCCATACTGCTAGTACTATCAACCATCCCCAATCAAGTTATAACCCCAATTCAATTCCAAAACACCTTCCACGAAAATCAAATTAAACAAATTAATGAGTTCTGAATAACAACAACACGAACCAGCAAACACCAGTAGTACTATTCGAAACATACTTCCCTCCCACCCGTACCGTGTAGCAAAGAAAAAAAATAATCAACATGATACATTCATACATACCCAGCTCACATTCCAGACCAAACCTTCCACCACTCCATCGATCATTCGACACACAATTTTCCCCGACATCATTGCCTCAGGACTGGAATTCAAGGGATGTTGCCACCCTTATACCTACCCACATAATAAAAACCATACTCCATGTTTAATAAAATGTCTTAGATATATAGAGAGAGTATGAGACACGACAACTTCACCTATCTCAACGACCAACGACCAACGACCAACTCAACACCAAGAATAGTATACTGAAGAATAATAACGACTCCATCAAGATGCATAAACTCCTCTTCTTATCCACCCTCTCCCTCGCGGCAGCTACATCTACCACTACTAATGGGGACTTGGGGTATTTGCAATGCGCTGTATGTATCCCCTATTTCTCTCCCACTTTCTCACGAACAATAAATCTAGATCTGGATCTAATGAATGAATGAACGATAGTCCTCCATCGCAGAAACCTACCCCCGCAGCGCAGAATGTACCTCCCCCTCAGTACTAGACTGCTTCTGCAACGCACCGTTTGATCCGTCCTCGCTGGGTCGGAAGACTTTGGAGAGTTGTGCGAGTGAGGGTGTTTGTACGTCTATCTCCCCCCACCCCCCTTTTATGTTCTATGGAAAAAGAAAATAGGGAGAATAATGCTAATCAGAGATGATGATAGCACCATCCAACATTCCCGACTACGTATGCAGCGACACCGACGTCCCCATTGACGCACGCAAGGGCAGTAGTCCCATGATGCGGGTTGATACGACCAGCTCTGGTGCCAGTACAGATGGCAATGGCAACGGAAATGGAAACGGCAATGGCAATGGAAACGGCAATGGAAACGGCAACAGCGGCAACATATTCACACCCCAACGCTCCAACTACAAAGCCTCAAAGCGCGCATACGCACCATCCACCCCTGATCCCAACACCAACGCCGACACACCCTCACCCGACACAACCACCACCACCCAAGAAGTCTCCTCAGACGACTCATCAGAAGACCGCATCGAAGCGACCACCAAGACCAAAACCGAAACCAAGACCTCAGAAGCGCGCATCGAAGCACCGGCGACCATAACCGAGCATCACGGGGTGCACATGACAGACGCCACGAACCCAAACGTAGTATACAAAATGTACACGGAGACCGTGACGGACTGTGCGTGTGAGCACCCAGCCGCTACTGGGGATGCGCATGCTTCGGAGTTGAGAATGGAGAGTGGAACTGCTGCTACTGCTGCTGCTGATGCTGCTGCTACCGGCACGTCAGCAAGGCTGCTTGGAACGCAGGCGGCGAAGACGTCAGGGGCGGTGGTGTCGTCGTCGTCGGTGGTGATGTCGATGCCTAGTGGGGTGGATGCGAGTCGGGTTGATGGGGTGAATAATGGGACTGGGGCGTTGTTTGAGGGGGGTGCGAGTAGGGTTGGAGGAGTTGGGGGATTGTTGATGGGGGTTGCGGTGGGGGTTGTTGGGGTGGGTTTGGTTCTTTGATCTATCTATTTCATGAATGAACTTGTTGGGGGAGTAAAGATGGGAAAGGGGAGGGGGGTTATGTTATGAGTATGAGTATGATATGTGTAGTATGATTAGTATAGTTTAGTATAGTCTCGTTATATCTGAATTGAAGTTGATACTGTCAAGAACACGAAATCCTCACTGCTGTTCAAGCATGAATCGCCTGCTGCACCTTCGGATACAACTGCACCAAGCGATAATACATCTCGGAATGATCATGTACCAGGACCTGCGGATCCCACGCCATAGCAGCAAAGATCGTTTCAATGCCACTACTCACGGGCGTCATGAAGATCTGACAGATCTGCAATCCAATGACAAACGCAAAGGCCATAATGACCGCCGTGAAATCGCCACCCTGGTTATACCCCGGGTTCGTGAACTGGAGGTACAGATAAGCCAGTAGCGCACACACGTACGACACGAACACCGACCCCATCGTTATCACCGGCCCCACCAGACAATCATTAACTAGGGCATCCACGCCACGATCCTTCATCATCTTCCACGTATCCTTAGCAGAGGGGATATAGGCTTTCCCGTACAGGGCAATATGGCAGAAAGCGTAGCGGTTAAAGAACGTAACGAGCCAATCGAGCAAGGAGATGAAACAGCCCAGGACCCAGAACCCAATACTGCCGATAATACTGCCCTGGGCGGCTTCCTGCTGCTGGGCGATGGAGCACGCCTGCCGGAGCATTTGGATAACGGCGAGGATGAGCGAGCCGAAACTGATGCTGCCGAAGGAGTAGGTGGTGGCGCGGCGGAAGGCGCCGCGCGTTGCACCGTGCGGCATGCCCTGGGGTGAGTTGGCGAAGAAGTACCAGGAGCCATAAACGCCTGCGATGGTGGTGTGCACGGTGTTCTTGAGCCATTCGCTGAACCAGTACATAGCGAAGGTGACGTAGACGACTAGACCAATGACGCGGGCAGTGCTGCAGCCGCCGGAGCCATTGGGGCAGGCCGGGTTGACGCCGGTGCTGTCAGGCTCGTAGGCGACGTAGATGGAGACGAGCGTAACGGAGAACCAGGCGGCGAAGGCGACGGCCACTAGGCCGCCGATGGTGCTGACCAGGAACATGTGGCCGTATTGGCGGGAGACGTCGATGGAAACTTCCATCATGTAGGCTGTGAAGGGGATGCGGGGGATCCAGCTGATGAAGCAGACAATGGCGAAGACGCCGAAAATGAGGAAGACGATGCCGCCGCCATATTGTCCGCGGACGATGTAGTAGATGCCGGTGGCGAGGGCGAAGACGATGTTCAGGATGCCCGTGACCCAGATGAAGAGCTTGGAGAAGTACCGCGCACCGAGGAAGTAGGCATACGAGAAGGCGAGAGCCACGCAGAGGACGAAGATGAAGAGCACGAGGGTGTTGGTGTTAAGGGAGAAGTCGTTGGTTGCATCATAGATGCCGCCGCCGCTGAAGCCTTTGTATTTCGCATAGCGATGGATGGTCACACCGGACACGGCCACGTAGCCGAGGAACACGGCGATGAACTGCCAGCAGTTTAGTTGTGAAGCTTTGTATAGAAGTATCGGGTTATCCTACTAGAAGTCCCGCCCAGATGTCATTGTATTTGGGTCGCTCGACTTGGAAAGCTTCGTCAAACCCATATACGGCTTGGTTGTAGGTTGGTGGAGGTCCCTGAGGGGGTCCCTGAGGAGGTTTCGGTTCAGGTCCTCGATAATCGCCGCCATTGTGTTGGTTGGGTGCTGGCTGGGGAGCTTGATTGTAGTTGTAGTAGGCATATTGTTGTTGCTGCTGCGGTGGCTGAGGCTGAGGCTGATCGCCAAAGCTCTGATTAGCGTTGTAATAGCTGGATGCCTGGCCACTCATGACTGCGTGCTGTGAATGCAGAAAAGGAGAGATTCAAGAGGTGAAAAACACATTATCTGGAGAGAAAGTCAACGTCACAATCCGGGCAGGAGAGGGTTGCACTGCAGCTCGAGCGCGTCATCGAGGCGGGATCAACCGGCCGCTGTGTTGGCTCCCCACGGATCCTCAAACTTAATTCTTCTTCCTGAAGTCACCTCAAACGAGTGTAAATATTGGAAAATCAGGAAATGAAATATGTAAATCAATGCCACTCATATATCTAAGCTAATATGCAGTATGTACATGTAACATCGTCAGGCATGTCGTCAGTCCATCCGGCCTGCGCCCTGAAACCCGCGAGTCTATTAAGATTAAGAGGTCGCAGAGTACAAATAGATAGTCCGGACCAGGTAAACGGTGGACTGACCGGTTCAAATACAATAAAGCTGCTTGGGGGTATCAATAAAAGCCAACCATCACTCCTCAGCTCCTACCGAAATGCATGGTTCCGCATGTGTCGCCACGAATCCCCGATCTTGCGCTCGATGCCTGGGATAGGTGTTCGCGATCGTCCTGGCCACTCGTCTGTCGCTGCCTGGATCTGCCCTTTGTTCCACGCCCGCGACCGCCGCATGTTCTCGTGTCGAACTGCTGCCCGTCGCGCGGCGCGCAGCTCGTCAATGCGGCCTTGTCCAACCCGATGTCGTCGCACGAAACAGTCGTCCATCAGAGTATTGGCGTCCAGCAGCTTCTTCGGCACTGTCTGTACCACCTGGAACACCTCCATTGGATCCGACACTGCCATGATCTCTCGCTCGCACGACTTGAAGATGGCTAGTGACACGCGGAAGAACGTCTTGGACCCTTCGTAGAAGAACACATCCCACACCCGTAGTGTGGTCTCCAGGGGCAACGTCCCGATGAATACCGACATCAGCCAGTTCGTCAGCCCGAGCGTAATGTCCGGCAGTCGCGACGTCACCGTCAGCGCGGGCGCCCGCGAGCCGCCACCGAGCCCGCCACCGATTTTGTTGTACACATGTGGCGACGTCTCCTTGAGCAGCACCATGAGAATCCACAGGTCGATGTTAGCGCCCTCCAAGCTGATCTCGTGCGTGCTTGGGAGATACACCGAGCTGATAATGTGCAGCATCCAAAACGCCTTCTCTTCCGGCATGAACAGCAGCAGCAACCCCGTGATGAAGTTTAGCGACTGCGTATATCCGATCTGGGGGTTGTGCACCGCGAATGCATACAGCACGCGCCGGAGCGACTGGATCATCTCTGTCTCAACCGTCACGGACTCGTGTTTCGGGTTGCTGCTTCCAGCGCCAGCGCTGGAGCCTCCGTATTGTTCGACCGATTCAGGCTTAAAGTGGATGTTATCCGGAAACGTCCGATGTAAGTCGCGTTCAATGTGTTCCTTGTCGTCGTTGCTTGGGGAATTCATGGCCTGCCGGACAAGCTGGTCGTAGAGCCCGGGATTCCGGTTTAGATGCTCATACCCGCCAGCGTAGAAGAACCAGGCGGCTCCTCGATACTCCGAAGGAATTCCCTTGCGCACAAACTTTTTGACTTTGTTTGATTTTGGCGGGAAGGAGATCGGATCTGTGATCGGCAGCCGATTTTGGCGGAGCAGTTCCACCCACTTGATTCGCTGGGTCGCGGCAAAGTCGGAGTATGAGCTGTTCCACGCCTCCCACTGGGCAAGCGTCACATGATGGGTAGCCTTTCGAAACCCGTAGCGATCGCGCGAGTCCGTTCCCAACAGGAGGGGCGGAGGCACCACTCCGGGCAGCACGACCTTTCTTTCTTGACGCTCGGACCCGGGTGACTTCAATGGTGTCTCAACGGATGGCTCTTCAGGTGGAACTTCCTCCCCCTCATGGCGATCGCTTAGTGGCCCTCGTACAGGAGCACTCAGCTCAGGGAGCGGTGGTACAGGCGGAAGATCCTCAGTAGGGTCCATATCGGGCGAATGCTCATCGGAAGTATGACCATCATCGACCGTATATTCCGTGGGCGGACATGGGCTCCACGGTCTGACTTTCTCGTCGTCATATATATCTGGCGTCCCAGGTTCCTCCGTCACATCGCTAAAACCGTCGAGGTACATGGAAATGGCATCTTCCACACTCATGCCCCCATCTTTTTCACAAGGCCCATCGGGCGTGTCAGGAGACAGGTCGGTTATCGAACTACTCTTGGTGAGAACACTACTGCGCTCAGTTCCGCTGGCTTGTTCGATGCTGGATCGCGATGTCATGGCGGAGTTGATACTAGATCGCAGTGCATCATCTCCATGTGCGTCTGCATAGCTCCCCGGAGGCACGACGCGAGGCAATGCCAATCCATACGCATCATCTGGGTACCGTTCTCGTGACCGAGGGGGCCGTTGGCGTCGATTGTGCAATTTGGAGGTAGACATGGAGATGCGCAATCCTGGTGCACCTGGCGGAAGCTTCCGGGGCGGTGGGCGATCGAATTCAGTCTCTCTGGAAGGATATCCCGGACGACGACCTGGTGATACCGGGAATGTTGGCGTACGGAGGGCGGGCTTGCGAGTGACGAAATAGTCATCATCTCTGGGTTGAGGCGAAGGGGAGCGCCATGATGGATCAGCAGCAGCCACCTGTGCAGGGTGCAGTCGTGGGGAAGGCACGGGGGGGCGCTGAGAGGGAGGAGGGCGAACGCCGTCGGCGGTCGAGGGGCGTGGAAAGGGAGGATTAAGTCTCAACGGATCTAGGCGGGGAGGGTTCGGGATCCTGCGTCGGCTGGGGATATCATGCGCGCCTGCAAGGGGCGGATATCGAAAGTCTCCATTTCCTGTGACCATGGCCACGAGATGATAGATCCCAGTTCCCGCTGGACATTGGTCGGTGAGTGTAGAATGGAAAGACGCAGTCGAGGACTGATTTCAGGGGCGAAGGGGCGGGCGATAGTTGATAAGGATGGGTGAAGAGGCAAAGGGAGGCGAGTTGAAGAGGAGGAAAAAAGCAACGAGAATAGAGTAAGCGCGTAGAGAAAGACTGCAGGGCAGTGGTGAACGAGTGAAGAGACCGGTCAAGCGGTCGAGCTGCCCCGTCAGGCGCGAAGTGAAACGAGCGGATGGAAAAGAAAAGTGCAGGCCAAGTTAATAGTCGCCCCGGCAGCGCGCGATGCAGCAGTCCATCAACCGAGTCTCACGAACCTGCCAGAGGATCAATCCGAGACTTCATCTCACGACGTAAAACAAGAGCGAGAAGAGAGAGTCAGAAAAAGAGGAGGTGGACGACGACGACGACGACGAAGAATAAAAAGCGAGAGCCGAAAGGGAAAAGGGGAAAATCGCTGCGGGCCTCGATCGGGTCTAGCGCGTACGATTTCCAGCGAAGTCGTGAAGTTGACAATTAAAATCCATCCGGTTATTACGGACCCTGTCCGGTAAGCTAAACGCCTTGCCGTGCTAATTTCACAGCTAATTTCAGGTACCGTATTCTGATTACAACTGATTTGGTTTTTTTACTTGGTACACGATGGGTTTCAGTCTGACGCCAGGATGAGATCAGTCTCACCAACGGCGTTTGAGGTTGATGATTTCTGTATATGTCTAGTGCAGTCAGTCGAGGCACTTGCGGATGGCCTCGGGGTGTGGTGCCATGTAGAAAAAGTACGCCAATGCAGCCTGTAGACTTCACAATGGCTTTGCGTTCCTCTTCACCCCGAGACGGGGGTTACACAACGGTTGCAGGGGCGATCTCAAAGAAGTCAGGCAGTCTGCAGAGTCTCGCGCAGTCTCAACCACTTCCATCTATCTATCATCTACAAGGTGCCTATTTCGTCGCCTTGTTGCATAGTACTTTTCAATCATGATAGGTCACTCCTACATACATGTGTCTCCATAGAAGCTGCATCCGCGGTGACGTTATGTATGGGGAGACGCTGGACATCTCTGTCTGTCTCTTGAGCTGCGCCAACCACATCCCTCGCAGTTTGCAGTTGGGAGGGTCCGCCCCGAGCCGTCTGGAGACCGGCTGGATGCATTGCATATCTACCGTTGGATGAAGAAGCGATCGTCCAGACAGGTTGCTTGGATGGCATAACTGTTGATGATGCTCATTTCCCAACTGCCAGATAACTCCAGCAGGTTATTCCCAGTGGTGGGAATTATGACGACGAACGTTGGCAACTTCCTTGGTACGGAAAGCGAAAAACCGGTTTGACACAATACGAACGTACCGGGCGGAGTCGGTTTCAGCTGCCCCTAGTCGGGTCCCACCCGCCGAAGCGCCAAGGTTCGGTTCGCTCGACAGCTGCTTGCCCTTTTTGATAGTCTGTTGTCGAACAAACTGTTTTATCCCTTCTGGCCCTCTGGTTTGAGGCCCACCTAGGTTTGTTTGCCCTTCCCGAACCAAGACCGGATGCTATCTTTCCGATCTCCCCCTCCCCTCCCCCCAAATTGATGTCGAGCACGATGATTATTAACCGCCATCGCTGAGTGAGCTTGAACAACATTACTCCGTCACATGATTCTAGCGGGGATCGATCGTCCCGTGATGCTGCCGTGCCCCACCACTTCCTACTGCTTCGGGAACTTTTCCCTAAACCCAATTTGATTAAGTTTAATGCTTCAAGGCACCATGGATGGATAGTATCGCTTCACTCTATTCTCTACTACCGAAAGGCAACCAACTTTGGTGCCATTGGCCGCTGTCGAATTATTCGGGTCATATCTGATGTATCGCTTATCATCTGCAGGTTAGGTCTCATTCTTATGATATGAGTCGCTGGGGTGGATATCTCGCATGCATGGCTTAACTTAGTTCACCAAAATTTGGACTGTCAGAAACTCTAAAGCTAGATAGCATCCCTTGAGCGAGATTGCGCTGTCCCGGAAATCCGATGTACCTCAGCTCCGCCGCTTCATCCTTATATGGAGCAACATGCGAAAGCGAAATTGATTCTATTAATACGAACGGAACCCAAGGATGCGCTTGATGATCCCTTATCGGAAATCAGCACCGCAATTCCTAGTGCGCCCGCATTGGGATAATGCCGCCAACTGGTGGGTCTCCTGCGCGTCATGGCGATGACGAACGTGTTCTCGCACAGAAAATATAGTAGATAGTCGGGGCCCCAGAGGGCAGTACATTGAATTGCTCTTGCTTGGTCTCTTCTGCTCTTGACCGTGCCGCTTTGTGGCGACCAAAAGGGATGATGCCAAGTTCCCCATCTATTAAGATTACCAGTGGGCTTGACCGTCGGACTTCCTAAGAGCGCCTTGCATGCAGGATCCAGCGCAGGATCTATTCCCGACGAAAAGCCATCTCACTTCACCCTTCCATCTGACAGTTAACTGTGCACTATGCCACTCGCGTCACTTTCACGTTCATCCCTTTCTGTCGTACGAACCATGCATTGACCACCTCCCACTCAGCTTCCGGATCATTCAATTCAACCTGTAACAGCCACCCGTCAGCCAAAGATCGCAAATTGCCAGAAAAAGAGGCGATGGCAATGCACATACCTTGTATGCCAAGAGCAACGATGGTATCAGCTTATATATCTCCAACAGACTGATGTTCTTCCCAATGCAGGTTCGGGGGCCGGCCCCAAACGTCAGCGTTGCCCCTAGCATATTCTGCCTTCGTATCTGAAACTTCGCTTCTGATTCATCGTTACCCCGCAGCCAACGCTCAGGGACGAACCTGTCAACCTCTTTGCCAAAAATAGCGTGGCGATGGATTATCCACGGGTTGACTCCAACAACAGTCCCAGCGGGGAGGAAGGGGCCGTTTGGCAATGGGAGGCCTTCTGCGGGGACTACCCTCTCCAAGAGGAGTCCTACGGGTGGATGCAGACGAAGAGCCTCCTTGATGACGGCGTCGAGATATGGGAGTTCCTGGCTTTTTTTCCATGATACAGGTACGGTAATTTTTCCAGCTTGGAGGGCGCTGTGCAATTCCTCCTGCAGCTTGCCCAATACCCTGGGGTTCTTCAACGTATAGTACAGGATCGCTCGGAGAGAGATAGCAGTGGTATCAGAGCCTGCATTCACATTGCTGACTGTGTAGGAAAATACCTGGGTGTCGTCGACCACGTCAGGGTGAATAGATTTCGCTTCCAAGAAACGGGTCAAGAAGTCTTTCTGACGTCCAGGGAAATCATCTCGCTTACTGCCATCCTGAGACAGCCGTTCATGCAAGCGGTCGCGGGCGAAACGAGCAACAGCTCCTGTTGACCCGCCCCGAATTAGCTGCCAGAGAGGGTTCTTGAGAAAGACATAATCAAGCCAGGGTATTTGACCAATCTATAGACGAACGACCTGTCAGAATGAGGAAACAAAGTGTTGGCATGCAACCCACCTTTCCCGCATAATCGAACATCTTCTCCAACGACATGATGATACCTTTAACATCACGACCCTGCTGTAAGAACCCAAGTCGTTTGCTGAACGTCATCTCACCAATGACATCAAACGCATCTGCCCATGTCAGCTTACTTCCTACAACCAGTGCCCAAAACAGATGCCTTACAATACTGCAACCACGTCGAAATATCAAACACACTCCTCTTCGCCGCAAACCCATCCAACCGCGCAAAAAACGTCCGTATCGTACTATCCACAAACGGCTCGAATTCGGCAACCGTGCTCATTGAATAAGCCGCCGACACGGGTCGTTTAATCCTAGCATGAAAGTCCTCGTCAAGGGATGTAAACAGCGTTCTAGTCGGCTTTCCCTTTGCAAGTTGTTGCTGGACGCGATAGAATGCAGTCTATGTATGCATTGTTTATTAGCATATTCACACAAACATACTTCGTACTCCCAAACATTTTTTTCCCCAAAACTGATAGTGAATGGATAATGAAAATACCTTCTTATACCCCCTATTAACCCCATAAATCACCTTCAACGCCTCCACATTCCACACACTAACGACCTTCGGTCCCAACCGCACATACTCGCCATGTTCCTGGTGCAGCCGATAATGTGTGATCTCCGCTTTGCCTCGCGCGACATCTACAAACCGCCACAGATTGGTGAGTTTGGCGAGGAATGGGCCTGGGATGCGCGATACCCCGGGCGTGAAGTAGTTGCGGGTGAGGTGGATGATGAGGATTGTTAGTAGGATGGAGGGGATGTGCTGGGAGAGGTATGCGATTGTAGTGGTGAGGAGGGCCATGATGATAGCAATTATGACGGGTTGATGGATGTGCTAGTAGTATAATACTATGAGAATGGGAGAGTTGTGGTAGTAGTAGTAGGCTAATGTAGATGTGATTCTATTTAGGTATTTGAATCCCCGCATGAGAGCGGAACGAGTCCCGTTATTTGGGAACAGGTTGCCGAGGATGACTTGTCGTCTATGATGTTAGTAGTGGTCTTTGGAATTGGAGGATGAGTTGGTTATACACGTGTGGTAGAGTATAACGGTTGTATTAATCTACGGCGTGCGGGGAAGCCCGTGGCGAGAGAGATAAGAGAAAGTAAGGAGGATATCCGCACCACTGCAACATATGCACGGTTAGTTGGTCTTGCATTATGAATGATATCCTGCGGATTTCGGCCGGAAGTAAGATGCCGATTCTTATTTTAATGCCGCTCTCAATATGCATATAGTATCTATTATGATGATTTCATGTCCTTTTTTCCACAAAGAATTTCATGCTAACGAAGTCTCATCCCATGCAGTCGTGATGCTCAAACATGTTCATATCATATATATATCTAGCCAAGCCGAAACTTTCATGTCTTTTTGGTCCCTGTTCCCTGTGTTTCTCCCGTCGTTTTCGTATCACTCTTAACTCGCAGACTCCCCTCAAGGTATCTATCTACCTGCTGAACCGATAGCAGGCAGCAGCGGCTCACTAGAGAGTGGCATACTTGCGTGTCCACTCCTTCGCGACCTCCTCATACCGACTGTGGTCATTTTTGAATTGCTCTGCAATCCGTCCCTCGACAGCATCATCGGGCATCGGTTCCGCTAGCAGCTGGCGCGCGAACTGCAGGACGGCCAGGATTTTGGAGCTAGGTTTCCACTCGTCTGCGCGAAGCATGCCCAGACACATGCTTCCCTTGTCATCGTTGGTCACATTGGGGTGATATATCTTCGTTTTGAAGGAGACAGTAGGGGGTTTGAAGGGATATTCGGTGGGGAGGGAGAGGTTGAGTAGGAATTTGCCGTTCTACGTATGATACGGTTCTGAGTGTTAGTGAGGGTTCATATGGCCTCCTTGGCGTCGATTACAGGTAGGAACGACTCACCTGGTAGGGAGATTTCTCAGGTCCATCCATATATACGTTCCATGTGTAAAGGTTGGATTCGTCGGCCAACTTCACCACGATGCCCTCCGGGGGAGACTCGACAAGCTCGGCGAGCTCCTGTGAGTCATGCGTTAGTCAATTGTGCTCTCTTCTTGCACCCTGGTAGATGAAGCGCGGATTATGAAGAGGAGATTATCTGTTCTGCTCACCTTAGCTATCCGTTTCTGACTTCCCATGGTGTGTGTCTGTTTGCGATAGAACCTGACAAGTGTTTGTCGGTGTGGAAAGAAGAGCGGGGTAAGATGTTGAGGGGACACGGTCGGGGACGGCGGCGGAGAGGGGTTATTGCGAGACGTGAAACCCAAGCATCAACTGTGGAGTGAATATGGCCCAGGTCTCTCAAAAGCTGACTATCAGTGACAGGGCAAATGAGTTGTGGCGGACCAAGTGCCGATGGAAGGGGGAGCTGTGTTGGTCGGGAAACCCCGAAGCTCTTTGGCAATTGATTAGCGGGGCGGGTCAGGCGGGGCGGAGGATCGGCTGGTCGCAGTGAAAGACGTCAGCGTCAATCAATCCCCTTTCCACTTAGTTATTTACTATTACAAATTCTCCAGATGGAATTGCGATACTTCAACACTGGTAAATAAGAAATGTATCATTAAATATCCTCGCGACAAGTATTCTATATATAGACCAAACGCCGTCACTGTCAAACATGGCCCAAGAATAACTGCATTCTATATTCCAACCCGCTTTCACCTACACAGCAGATGGTCCAGGCGAACCTTTGCTGAGCTTGCTGACTGTCTCATCTTCCCAATACTTCTCCTGCTTGCCTTTGTTCTTGATCAGACCAGCGATGTCGAAGGGATCAATAAGGGTTAAGATGACTGGTCGGTGATCCTCATAACCAGGACCTTCGATCTCGGTAACGCCATCCGTGGCAAGATATATTTTGTTGGAGCGTGGAAGCCACTGCATCGGATGGCAGACATTCAGCAAGATGGTATTGAGGTACATGACAACAGCCTCAAAAACCCAGAAAAACCACTCATCCTTGAGGATTGGGCTAATCTGGTTGCCGCCACTATAGATATTGAGACTCGTGGCGCTGAAATATTCCACCGTCCGGTAGATCGTGCGCACAGTAATGAGGGTGCAACTGCAATACAACACGTACAAGGCCCGCTTGATCTTGCCGTTCAAGACACCACCACGATGACAATTGTAGTGGAATCTGGCAGCCAAGGCAACAAAGGCAGCCATAAGCACAAGTTGCAGGATCAGAGCTGCTTTAAGCAATCCCTCTCCTGTCTTTCTCTTGCCTTCCGTCGCCTCAGAGTTGGCAACCAGCGCAGCCCCGTTGCCGGTGATAGCCTCGATCACAACACCAACCGCCACAAAAGTGGTGAAAACGCGTCCAGGATGAATGGGCGAATGGTATGGGATATAGTAAAGGATGCGGCCCAGAGTGAAGTAGTTGGCGCCCTCATAGACGGGTCTGTACGCTAGTCAGTGGTACTCATTATCAATCCGCACCAATAAGCACTCACGGTGCAGCCAGCAACAGAACGGTGCTCGCAATGTAGATACCCACATTCCCCCACTGTCCAAAGGCGCCGATAGTACGCGTTATGAACCCAGCTGTAAAGAGAAGAGCAGACCATGGTAGGAGACCGGTCACTTTCCAAGACTTGTACTGGCTGTCCTTATCGTTAGGAACTGCATGGGAATAGCGCTTGGGTGAGCATGCATACCAACATTGATAAATGTGTACCATCCCAGAAACAGCAAACATTATTGCGAAAGAGATGGGTGCTCCTTGATTGGGCGCATAGTACCAGAGGCTTCCCTCCTCTTCTTGGCGTTAGTGTATACTATATAGAGTATGTGTAGGCTTGGCGGGTAGGGGTTCCATACGATAAGGGGATCTTTTGTCAAGCATCATCTTGTACCGTCCTGACTATGTGACACTGAAACTGAAGCAAGCAGTTGTGATAGAAGAACTAAAATGTGATAGCATGATCTTTGCTCCATCTTCGTTCATCTCTCCTGTATATATACTGTCTTCACATCTTCAGCCTCTGAATGTTAGAAGAACAAGCGAAAACGAGCACACCGTTTTGGGTTAGTGTCTGATCCAAGCCATGAGCCTGGGAGATTGGCTTATTGGGCCCGCGAAAGCATCGCCTCAACCTTATTGACTTTGGGTACTGCAACAAAGACCCTGAATCTTTCTACGCGGCTCCACATGCGATGGCTGAGAACCAGATGTGGCATCTCACAAAGACGATGGCACGTCACATGGGTAACCACCTGGCTCATGAAGTTAGTAGTTGCTGGATTACAACAAGCGCCAAGAGTAGCGAATACGAGCAAGGCTGAGCCGGGCGCAACTTCAGGCACTAAGGCCATCTTTCGCACTAGAAACTCTAATTCCCGCCTGAATCTGCAGGCACACAAATACGAGCTTACATCATGCGCGACTAGTTGTCAGGACAACACGACACCCAACCCAAAAGGGAAAAGTCAACATAACGTGATCGCTGGCCTGGGGAAAGTCTCGCCTTCTCCAGCTTCGATGGTGCTTCGATCTGGACCTCATATCCGCCCAAAGACGCACGACATCTCGCAGTTACTCCACTCTGTTCAATCGAATGTGAACAGACAACGTGGACTGCTACCCACCATGAGCTCGACAAAGTCCTCCCCCGCATCTCTATTCCAGGTGTACCTCCGCCTGCGGCCACCTATGCCGCAGTATTTGGAGGAACACGCTGAACGATGCTTGACAATCGAGGCTCCGGAGCCAAAGGTCACCGTTGAAGATGACCAGGAAACGGCGGCCGCCTCTCCCACCCATATCACCCTGCAACCCCCATCCGATGCACGAAAGCGTGCCGTGGAAAGGTTCGGTTTCACCAAGGTGTTCGAAGAGTCAGCGTCTCAGCTGGACGTCTTCCATGGCACCGAGTTGGAGTCTCTGGTTAGGGGTGTATTGGTGGAGGGCAGGGACGGCCTTATTGCAACGTTGGGAGTGACAGGCAGCGGAAAGGTCTAGTCCACCGCATCACCATGAGTGAACTTGAACATGTACTGACAAGGACAACCTACAGAGCCATACAATCCTAGGTTCGAAGTCGCAGCGAGGAATTACCCAAATGAGTCTTGACCTTATCTTCAATTCTTTGGCCTCGACTATCAGGCCACCCGACAACTCTATTAGCCCTCTTCTTCTGTCAACCGTGGCCGCGTCAGACGGTTCCGAAGCCCAAATGTTTACGGCGCAGACATTCCTCGAGGCTGTGTATGGCGACCCTGCCGAACGTGGAAGGAACTCGAGAGCCCAAACGCCGATGAGTACTGGAAGAGCTACCCCTATGACGGTATGGCGCCCTCCCCCAAAAACCCCGTTGCAAGGCACCGCACGGTTTTCCCCCTTAGCCGCTGCCCACACTGGTCCCTATTCCAAAATATACAGCGAATCCCTCTCGAGAACATGCTACATCAATCTTCTCACCATGCATCCTAAATTAAGAGAAAAGATGAAGCACGACTCGTGCACCCACTTGAGTTCTGGTAAAACCGCTCGTGCTAACATGTCTCAACCGGCAAAGGAACCGACACCTGCACTTATATTCCCCCGTCGCAATATGCCCCAACGTCCCAACGGCCTGCTTCGCTCGCCTGATGTCAGCCACCTCACTATGGAGCTAAACCCTAACTCCGAATATGTCGTCCTGGTGTCAATGTACGAAGTTTATAATGATCGCATCTTCGATCTGCTGTCCCCCGCTATAGTACCTGGCCAGGGAAGTACAATGTCCCGTCAGGGAGGCAATGCGCAGAAGGACCGACGCAGAGCCTTGTTTTTCAAGCCAACGGAAGGCTCCCCTGACCGCAAGGTTGTTGCGGGACTACGCAAGATAGCATGCAGCACCTACGAGGAGGCTCTGTCGGTGCTTGAAGTTGGCCTTACTGAGCGCAAGGTTACTGGAACCGGAGCCAATAGCGTCAGCTCTCGCAGTCATGGTTTCTTCTGCTTGGAAGTCAAAAGAAGAATGCGAAACAAGAGGACTGGCGAAGAAACTTGGATAGGCAACACCCTCACGGTGGCAGATCTTGCTGGTTAGTATGACTCTTCGCTTGCTGTTATAAAGCTAACACGAACAGGTTCTGAGCGCGCGCGAACTGCTAAAACGGCTGGTTCGACCCTGGCAGAGGCCGGCAAGATCAACGAGAGTTTGATGTATCTTGGGCAATGCCTTCAGATGCAGAGTGACATACAGGACGGAAATAAGGTATGCTACGACAGAGTATAGTCATCAATTCCCGAAAGCTGCTAACATAAATAGGTTGCCATGGTTCCGTTCAGACAATGCAAACTCACTGAACTACTTTTTTCGAACTCCTTCCCGTCTTCCAACCAGGCTACTGGCCTCAACCGTCACCCACAGAAGGCCATTATGATCGTCACTGCCGATCCTATGGGTGACTACAACGCGACTTCCCAAATCCTGCGTTACTCGGCATTGGCTCGTGAAGTTGCCGTACCTAGAGCGCCCTCAATTGCCGAGTCTATCTTGTCCAGCACGCTTGGATCTCGTCACGGATCCGCTAGTGGACGCAACACTCCCAGCATGGGCACAAACGAAGAGCTTGAGAAGGCCCTGGCAGAGATCGCAAGACTGACGGCAGAGAACGAATCTCTTTCAGTGAGACTTGCTGAAGAAGAGATTCTCAGGACCGATTTCGAGCTGCGACTCAAGGCAAGCGAAGAAAGATGCATCATGATCGAGCAAGATGTGCGCGAAGAATGTTGGAATGAGATGGATGAGCGAATGGAAGAGGAGCGAAAGAGATGGCAGAATGCTTTGGATCAACAAGTAAGTCTCATTCGAGTGCAGTCTAATCCACCGCATACTAATCAAACCAGTCTGGTTTCAACGACGAGCATCTCGACAGGAAGATTGAAATCGTGTCCCGAGGATTTCAAAGTAAGTTGTGGCCAGAAACATCCTCCCACTGAAGATACTAACAGCCTCTCCAGTTCATGAAGACCCCCAACCCTCCTCAGACGAGCGGGTCGAAGATCTCGAGTTCGAGAACGACCAGCTTCGCAGCAAGATTGCAGCCCTGGAACGCGAGCTGAATTGCCGCTCTCCCACCAAGAAGTCCCGGTCGAAGAATACTCTGGAGACTTCTCGCAACTCCAATATCCTCGGACGCGAAAGTGACATTGAGGTCGCCCTCAAGCGAATGGACCAGCTGAAGCTTGCGGATAGCATGTTTTCTCCTGCTCCGCAGCCCACTGGTTCACCCGGCAAGAGGCAGAGAAAGATGGCGACTCGGAAATGGGACCTGGCTCCCGAGGAAGATATCTGAGCTGTTGCCGAAAGATCGCTGCTGTCTTCTTGTATACGTTTGGCAGGATACCTTTCGTTGGACATAATTACTTGC